AAGGGGTCATGAGATTTCCGCGTGTTTCTTTTATTATTAACATCGTACGAAGATGTTGGGATGAGGTTTTGTTTAATATGGGATTTAATGCTAGTACTTGGTTGGTTTGGAGTAGTTACCATGATTAGGAATGGTGTTACGAGCGGGCGAGTTGTGTAATATGCTGGGTGATTATATTTGTGATTATAGTTATAGCTCGATGTAGATTGTTCAGACTCATACAGTGTGTAAATGTAAGATTCGTGTCTTTAAAAGAAATTCTAAAGGTTGAGAATTGAATTCCAAGGTTCTTGGGCTAAGACTACATTAAGGATTTCCAGTTGTATTGTGTTGTCAGGCTTATGTGGAATAGGGTGACGTGGGATCACCCTCGGGTACGTGCATGGTAAGATGGGATAGTGATTTGATGGCCTGGAAACAACTCCTGGCACGTTCGAGGACAAACGTATGTTTAAGTGGGGGAGAATGTAACGATCCGGCTGGTCATTTTGAGTATTACAACCTCGTTTTCCCTATTTTCTACTTCTTTATGTGTTTTTTAGCTGTATTGTATTGTATCGGGTTGGTTGGTTCGGGTCCGAAGTGGTTTCAGAGTGGAATGAGACACTTAGTATCTAAAGTAGAAGCTTAAGTTGGAAAAGTCAACCAGATGTTGACCTATGTGTAAACGATCTCGGAATTTAATTATGACGGTTCCATTAGCTTTGCTAGGTGATTTTAGACTCAGGAGTGCGCCCGGATGGTGATTTGGAGGTCCGTAGTAGAATTAGGCTTGAATTGGTGAAAGTTGGAAATTTGGCGATTTTGGTCGGCAGTGGAAAATTTAATATAGGGGTCGGAATGGAATTCCGGAAGTTGGAGTAGGTTCGTACTGTCATTTGTGATGTGTGTGCAAAATTTGAGGTCATTCGAACGTGGTTTTGGTTGGTTTCGGCATCGGTTGTTGAATTTGGAAGTTTAGAAGTTATTAGACTTGAATCCGAGGTTAATTTGGTGATTTGATGTTGTTTGATGTGATTCGAGAGCTCGATTGAGTTTGCATGGTATTTTAGGACTTGATGGTACCTTTGGTTGAGGTTCCGGAGGTCTCGGGTGTGTTTCGGGGTGAGTTTTGAGCAAGTCTGGGCATTTTCGGAACTCGGATATGTTTATGGTGCTTTGAAGTTAGAGTAGGTTCGTAGTGTCATTTGTGACGTGTGTGCAAAATTTAAGGTCATTCGGACATGGTTTTGGTTGGTTTCGGCATCGGTTGTCGAATTTGAAAGTTTAGAAGTTATTAGACTTGAATCCGAGGGTAATTTAGTGATTTGAAGTTGTTTGATGTGATTCGAGAGCTCGATTGAGTTTGCATGGTATTTTAGGACTTGATGGTACCTTTGGTTGAGGTTCCGGAGGTCTCGGGTGTGTTTCAAGGTGAGTTTTGAGCGAGTCTGGGCATTTTCAGAACTCAGGTATGGTTCTGGTGCTTTGAATTTCGCGGACCTCAGCAGAAATTCGCGGACCGCATAATTTTACCGCGATCGCACTCCGGGGAAAGTTCTGCAGATCCGTTGGTCCGACTTCGGAAGCTTATATCGTTTGATATACAAAGAATCTGGAGATGATTCAAAAATAAAAGTTGTAGCCCTTCGTGTCTAGTTTCTAGAAAGGTAAAGAAGTCATCATTTGGACATCTATAAAGAAAGTTATTGCCGAAATACTAAAATCTGGTAGTGCAGCCACCAAAAAGTGCGGTCGCACTAGTTTTTCGTGACCGCAGGACCTGGGAGGCGCGGACGCGCTTAACATTTCACGGACCGCGGAGTGGGAGATCAGAGGTGCACCATATAAATGGGGTATAGGGTATTATTTCACATTTTGGACCTAGGGAGCTCGGTTTGTGGCTATTTTTCATGGGTTTTTTTAAGAAATTCATCGGGGTAAGTGATTCTAACTCGAATCACTGATTTGTGACTTTTACCCGATTCCGAGTCGTGGGTCCAAAGGGCCGGGTTTGAGCCAATTTCGGATTTTTGGTCTAAATTGCTAGTTTTTCTTGTGGAATTCATTCTGTTAGCGTATATTGATGGTATTGTAGTAATTATGAATAGATTCTGAGCATTTGGAGGCCGAGTCGAGAGGCAAGAGCATTGCAGGGTAGAGATTTGACCGGTTTGAGGTAAGTAACGATTGTAAATCTAGTCCTAAGGGTATGAAACCCCGGATTTCGTATCATTTACTATTTTGAGGTGACACACATGCTAGGTGACAGGCGTGTGGGCGTGCACTGTTGGGGATTGTGACTTGGTCCGTCCCGTGGCAACTGTAAAGTTACATATTTTTTTGAAACTATATGATACTTATATGTTTTAGAAAGAGTTTTTGTAAATTAGGTAGAATGCCATGTTTGGGCCTTGTGCTAGTGCTGTTTGGACCCTTAGGGGCCTTTTTCTTACTATTCTCTCACTGTTTCCGATTGAAAATCTATACTCAGTCATGGTTATACCTGTTTACTGCATAACTCAGTTTTCATTACTCTGTTTTGATGTATATAAAATTTGTTTTGGGATGAATACCCTATTTTACTGAGAGCCCGAGTGGCTTGAGAGGTTTATGACTGAATGAGGCTGAGGGCCTGATAGTAAAGATATTTTTGGGATCGGGTTGCACGCCGCAACAGGCCATGTTAGCTTTATATATTATTACTATTATATGAATCGGGGTTGCCCGCCTGCAGCAGGCCTTATTGGCTTATTATGGCACGTGAGTTGTCCGTGCGAATTCTGATATGATATTATAGCACGTGAGTTATCCGTGCAGCACGTTAGTTGTCCGTGTAGCACGTTAGTTGTCCGTACAGCATGTTAGTTGTCCGTGCAGATTATAGCGCTTGGGCTGTAGGATCCGGAGTCTGTACACACCCCCAGTGAGCACAGGTACTGAGTGCGAGTGCCAAGTGCTGAGTGATTGGGAGGCATGAGCGATTGTGAGGTATGCCCTAGTGGCATGGGTGATTGTGAGGTATGCCCGAGTAGCATGAGTAATTGTGAGGTATGCCTGAGAGGCATGGGTGACTGTGAGGTTTGCTCGAGGGGTTGTATATGAGTGATGTTTTGCTTGAGGGGCTGTTTATGATTTCATCATTTTTTCTCACCTTTGCATTGAGCCTCTCTTTGAAAACTGTTGAAAAATATCTTTAAATGATTTTACTGGAACTGAGTTTAAACGAGATGATTTGATTCAAACACTGATTTTTTTTGCATGTTGTATTTTACTAAGATTTCATGATATGAACTTTATATGCTTTATTGCTCGTCACTACTGCTCAATATTTATTTATTGTTATTTCTTACTGAGTTGGCGTGCTCACGTTACTCCCTGCACCTTGTGTGCAGATCCAGGTGTAGCTGAACACGATAGTGACTGTTGACTATTCCGGTTGCATATTTTCTCGGGGATAGTAAGGTGGCTGCCTGGCGATCGCAGCCCTACTCTTGTCCCTCTTATCTTCCTTTAGTTGTATTTATCTATTTTCCAAACTATGTTAGTCTTGATATAGTTAGACAAATTGTAGTAGATGCTCATGACTAGTGATACCTCGATGTCGAATTTTTTTTTTTCCGCACTTTTGTTTTGATTTGAACTCCTTTACGAAGGTTTTTATGCTAAATAGCCTTGAAATTATCCTTGAAATAAAAATATCGGTTTGTTTTGGAATAAGTCGGCTTGCCTAGTTCCAAGATAGGCGCCATCACGACAGGTTAGATTTTTGGGTTGTGACAAGCATAGGCCTCATTCACAGTCACAACTGGTCTTCTAGGAAGGATGCTGCTTCTCACATTGCCATAACTCTCATTTAGGCCCATAAGAAACTACAACATGTGACTTTAAGTGTACTACATATGGTCTAGACTCTTTACAATTACAGGAAGATAGCGGAGCTAGAACATCCAATTCATCCCATGGGTCTTTCAGTTTTGTGTAGTAGCGAGTCACTGAGTCTTTACCCTGCCTCATTGTTGCAATTATAGTCCAAGGGTGATAAATTCTAGTGAGGTCTGATCTGTCAAACCTTTCTTGAAAATCATTCCAGACTTTTCTCGCATCTGAGGCATACACAATACCCGACATCAACTCAACGAAACTGTACTCTTAATCCATGACAATACTATCGCGTTACATTTTCCCTACTGTTGAGCTAATTCACCTCTGTATCTACTTTTCACACAAGATCTGTCTACAAATCCTAGCTTACCCTTTCCTCGCAGAGCCAATTTCATTGCCATGTTCCACAAGGCATAATTCTCTTCCCCTATGAGCTTAATTGGGATTAAAATCAGCCCTAGAGTATCTCCTGCTTGGAGAAATAGCGGATGAGTTTGATCGAGTGAGCTTACCTCATTTCTGGCCATATCTGCAGATTTTACCTCGAAAAACAACTCGATTTCACTGGAACTTTGCGCCGATGCAGTTTTCACACGATCGCCGCTCTGATACCATGTCAAAATTAAGGATAACTGAGAGTTGATCTACAACGAAAATGATGTTGTGACCAAGAGCTCAGGCATGGAAGAATTTTCTAGAAGCAAACGATAAGAATGAGGAAGAGGAAGTTTTCTCATTAGCTTGAATGAGTACAAGAGAGCTGCCTTTATAGACTCATACACACGTGACTCTAATCACCACTAACAATGTTTAACTAATTCTAATAACAGTTGTACATTAGCTGGCTTATTACACACTAACAAAGCCATTTATTTAGCTAACTATTTCAATACGCTTACTTTTTAAAAGGAAATTTAAAGCATACTTTACGAATATACACTACGAGATCTACGATCTCATTGAAAATCCAACAAGCTTGCATCACTTAAGACAAGATCTTTCTATTTATTTTTGCCTATCTTTTTCCAAAAGCAAAAAAAGAGAAATTAAAAGAAGAAGAAGAAAAATACTATAGTAGTCAAACCTCAAGTTTTTCAGTTAATCAAACAATAGAGAAAATGGTCCAAATAGTAACACATTGGAAGTCATTATGAACGTGCACTAACTATTCACTTGTCGGCTTATTGCCACTTTTTAATACATCGGAATCTTTAAAAGCACATTTCCACTATGTGTGTGTAAATGATCATTCAATAAAATGGACCTTACTCTAACTTCCACTTTCCGACCATTTTTACAGCCTGAATTCTCAGTTATTCACCGGAAAATTAACCAACCCATTATTCTCCATCATAATTTGAAGTGTAAACCATTTTCAAAGAATAAAGTGATTACTATGGCAATTAAAAAGGCAAGAATTGAAGGTGTAAGTGAAGCATTAAATGAAATTGCTTCACAGAATTTGGATCATGCTCCTGCTAGAAGAAGGGTTCGATCAGCTTTTATTGCTACTCAACAGCAGCTTGATCATATCTTATTTAAGGTTGGTTTTGTCTTAATTATGTTAAATTTAGTGTTTTTTGGTTTTCTTGGAGTTAAAGATTAAATTTTTAGTGTAGATTTTGATTATTTTACTTCATAAGTGCTTCTGATCATGTCTTGTTGGTTGGGGTGTCTTGATGTTAAAATTAGTGTCTTTTTTTTTTTTTGGAGTTAAAATTAATTTTTTTAATGTAGATTTTGATTCTTTTACTTCATAAGTAGCAGCTTGATCATGTCTTAATTAGTATTAAAATTAGTGTCTTTTTGGTTTTCTTGGAGTTAAAGGTTGACTTTTTTTAATGTTGATTTTAATTCTTTTACTCCATAAGTGATTTCTAATTTTTTTTGGTTCTTTTACTTTAATGGGTTTTGCAGATGGCTCCAGCTGATATCAGAGAAGATGAGGTATTTTACTTTATTTATACTGCTCTTATGTTTGTACTAGAGTTTTGTGTATGACTAATTGTGGGAAAAGAAAGTGTTAAAAATCTTGATTTTAAGTTTTGTGGTTCAGTTTTGCTCTGTGTGTAATGTCATTGAAGTTGATTACTAATTAATCACCTCAATCACTTTTTATTTGTTTCCAATGGAATGACATTGATTTAAATGAAGGATGAAGTCAAAATTAGGAAAGTGAAAATGGTTTTTTAAATGAGGGAGAGAACGGAACTCAGGTGTGTTAGGTAAAACAGAAGAAGAAAGAGATCTTGAAGTTTTTTCATGGAAGTTTAACCTTGTTGGCTATGACAAGAGTCACGATTAACAAAAAATGGATTCCAGTTATTCTAACTTTGGTTTTCTTTGTTGAATGTGATCTACTACTCTTATTTGTTAAAATAGTTATGTTAAAAGATATGTACTGATATTTGGATTAGTTGTTGAGGGCATATCTTTTCTGGGGCTTTTATTTCCAAGTTTTGGCTTATTATTACACTTCTTTTTATTGGTGCATGCCCTGTCAATTTTATGGCTGCATTCCCCTAATGTATTTCTACTAATATTATTACATACTTATCAGAAAACAAAAAAAATGAAGTAAAGGAAGGTTAATAGTGCTTACTTGATCTATAGCAATGACTTGTAATCTTAGGATATTGGACATATATGGAGCATTGTGTATTAAATTGCTAATTGTTCTCATCGGTATGATTTGTCTGTTTGATTGATGTAAGATTATGGAGAATCAATCTTATCTCCTCTTGTTCTTACTATATATTAAATCTGTAATACTCTCGTTCGGAAAAGGAGTCCGTATATTTTCATAAAAAATCTGTGGATTTTGTAGTGGTATGAAGCAAATTCGAAAGGCCAACAGATTTTCTGTAAAAGTTGGCTGCCAAAGCCAGGGGTACGAATTAAAGGTGCTTTGTGCTTTTGTCATGGATATGGTGATACCTGCACTTTCTTCTTTGAAGGTTCGTTCGTTATTATCTCTTTAACTCCAGAACCAATTGTAGCATGACTCTGTTCATTATTATCGACAAGTAGTAGCCTTTAATAAATTTTTTGTATGATTTGTTGATTCAGGTATTGCAAGGTTTATTTCGGCCTCTGGCTATGCTGTCTATGCTATTGACCATCCCGGTTTTGGCCTCTCGGATGGTTTGCATGGATATATTCCTGAATTTGATGGTATAGTTGACAATGTCAATGAGCAGTATGTGAAGATAAAAGGTATGTCGCAGAGAGGTTGTGCTCTGTCATAATTTCATACGATAATGACCATCAGCAATAAGGTTTTCTGTGAACATTCCCATTCGGAGTTAATTCATTCACGATTTATTCTAGTTTTTGTTAGAACATGCTAATTCTCGTTAACAATGTAATGATAATTTCTCTTGTGATGGAGCAGGTAGGCCGGAAATTAGCGGTCTTCCCTGCTTTATATTTGGGCAGTCAATGGGAGGTGCAATTGCTCTAAAAGCTCTTCTTAAGGAACCACGTCAATGGGATGGAATTGTCCTTGTTGCGCCAATGTGCAAAGTAATATTATCTTTTAACTAACTTCTTATATTATGTCATCTCCAAGTTCCATTTTCTCAATTTATTGTGATCTGACCCGAATACCAAATATTACGTGTCTCTTCGGCCTTTCCATTTGAATCTTAGGTTCTTAAATTTTCTAAGACTCTAGAGTTAAGTGTTTATAAGCTAAATAGAAACAAATAGGCTAACTCAAGTGTAGAAAGAAATTATACATTCCTCTGAGCATTTCCGCAGAATGCTGTGTTTCTTGAATTTTTACATTTGCAAATGTTTCGTGTTTGTTGGAATTTAAACATTCTTAATGCTAGAATTTCGCTGACCCTGTGTTGCTGCTAAGATTGCAGAAGACATGACGCCACCATTTCTCCTGCAGAAAGTCTTGATTTTTGTGTCTAACATTACGCCACAAGCAAAGATAGTCCCTACTAAAGATTTGGCAGAATTGGCATTCAGGGAGTTCAAGAAAAGGAAAATGGTAACGTCGCTATTTACTCTCTAATATGTTAAGTCAAAAAAGAATACTGGCCAAATGATGACTACTCTAAACTTCCGTTTGAAGAAAACTACTTGCATATATAGTTAGCCTGGACATGAACTATGTTAAATTGCCGAATTTGAGAAGAAGAGACAACGAATATTAGTAGTTGCAAAAAGCAAAAGAAAGCCCACCGCGTTGGTGTTCAATGTATACTTAGCACAGCACGGAATTGATGCTTTACTGAAGCTAATTGTTGTTTCATTCTTTTCTAGGCTCCATACAATGTAATCTCTTACTCCGATAAAACACGTGTAAAAACTGCTGTGGAACTCTTAAACGCTACAAAATACATCGAATCACAAGTGGACAAGGTCAGTACATTTCCACGTTTATCGACTAAGCACTATCTTATTTTCCAGTTTTGTCCGAAGAAATTAATTAACAGTTTGTATGTAACAACGCATGCAGGTGGCATCCCCGATGCTCATTCTTCACGGAGCTGCAGATAAAGTGACGGATCCTCTCGTGAGTCAGTATCTGTATGATAAGTCCTCGAGCAGCGACAAAACTCTTAAGCTCTATGAAGGAGGCTATCACTGTATTCTTGAAGGTGAACCTGATGATAGAATTCTTACTGTGCTCAATGACATTATCTCATGGCTTGATTCTCGTTGCTCTCCGAATTAGGCTTCAGTTTTTAAGGGGTTTTGCAGAGGGATTTCTTGTAGTTGGGAACCAACACCATTCATCTAGTTTAGGAAATGTGATACTAGACAATAAAACCAAATTCATTGTGGGATATAGGCATATGGCAATATTTTGTAACTGCTATTGTTATTGTTGGGTGATTTGGTTCTGAAGCTGAAATTTAGGCGCCCAGCAAGTGAAGCGAGGGTTCGATTCTAGGTCGAAACAAAATTATGATGATGAGATGAGTTGAGTTAAAAAGTAAGGATTCATATTGTCGAGCCCCCAACTTGTTTGGGAATGAGGCATAGTTATTGAAACTACTGTTTGTTTGTAGTTTTTCGTCAAACACAATCTTATAGTTTTGAGTTTTGGATCATTCTAAAAGATGTCAATCTTTGGTTCTAAGTCTCAAAATAGAGGAGTCACTACCACCAATCATTTTCAAGACTGCAACCACATTTCACTTTTCAGTCATTTTGTTTTTGTTTTATTTGTTTCTTTTTCATTTAATTTAATAGAGTGGAAAAACAAAAACTGAAATGAGCTGCTGGAAGATCATCAAGGCTCCATTTGAGCACTCTTATAAAAAAATCTTGAAGAAAAATTAGTTCGAGAAAACAAAAGTATTTGAATTGTTAATTTTTTTTGGAGTTCTGTTCTATTGACAAAATGGTTTTTAGAATAGTGCACCGGGGCATATTTTAAACAAGGAAAATGGTCGAATTGTCTTTTGTACTGATTGAGCAACATTTCCCTCCGTTATACTTTGCGTCTAATCTTACCCCGTCGTTAGGGAAAATATCTCATTTTGTCTTTGACCCCTAATTGAGCTCTAACTTGAAATATAACGGATGATAAGTTTAAATCATGGACCTTTTCCTCGAAATATAAATATGAAATCCACCCATTTCACGCTGGAGCTCCGTTAATAGCATGGACAAATACAAGATAATTTGCTTGAACAATGGTATATAATAACCCAAAGTATGACGGGAGGTATTGAGCAATTTTCAGATTGTACATGAGCAACTTTAGACCTTTTCCCTTTAATCAATTCAGAAAATGGTATCAAACAAACAGATTCAGAAAAAAGTGCCAACTTCTTAGAAAAGGTTGCATGGACAAAACACCACCTAAAAATTCATAAGAGAACAGCAGTGGGGAAGTAGTAGTACATAGTATATTGTGGTTGATAGAAACACTTCAATGAGACAATGGCAAAAGGAGGGCCATTAATTGGACTTCATAATCTTTGAGCATGCCTTTCATTGACATGATTTTACTTATGACAAAACAGTGTAATGTGTAAGGCTAAGTTTTGTCTGGATTATCCTCAAGGTATAAATGTCTTCTTCTATTGTACCTTAACTTTGATGCAACAACATGCATAAAGGACATCTATATACTGTATATATATTTCATGCTCACTTCTCTCTCCAATTCCTTCTAGGTGAGCTTGTTCATATTGTCGGTTTCAAGTCTTAATAAAGAAGGAGGGTTGCAGTTGGCTGGCAACCAGCGTAAAACTTGTCAATTCATACTAAATCCTCATAAATAACAACAAATGGGGTCAGGGGACGGTAGTGTATAAACAGACCTTAATCGTACCTTGTGAAGGTAGTGAGGTTATTTCCAATAGATCTTCGGCTCAAGAAAAGTATAATCCATAATAAATCCTCATAATACAAATATTTTGTATGATGATGATATGAGCTGAGCTTAAATGAAAAAGTGATGATTCATATAGCCGCCCTAACTTATTTAGGAGTAAAGCGTAGTTGTAGTTGTTGTTGTTTCTCTTTCTAGCTTTGTCCATTACATTTATGTAACAGCCCAGCCCACAGTGATATTGTCCATTTTGGACCTAGACCCGCACAGATTTAAAATGCGTCACTAGAATCTAAGGCGTGTCTACTTATATATCCAGCATCTCTCCCGTGTTTTGTCAAAGTGGGATTCGCCTAAGGTGTCACATATACCCCTCCCCCCTTCGTGACTCAGCGTCCTCGCTGAGGTTTGCCCCACCACAGTTCAAGGTTGCACACGGAGTGGCTATGATACCATATGTAACAGGCCAGCCCACAATGATATTGTCCCTTTTGGGCCTAGACTCGCACAGATTTAAAACGCGTCACTAGGGTCTAAGGCTTGTTAATTTATATATCCATCATCCCTCTTGTGTTTTTGCCAATGTGGGACTCTGTCTAAAGTGTGGGGTATTACATACACCCCCTTTTATGGACTCAGCGTCCTTGCTGAGGTTTGCCCCACCGCATGGGATTTGCCTAGACTCAGCACTGAGGTTTGCCCCGCCTAGCCGAGATTTGCCTAAACTCAGTTGAACTCGGACCCACCATCAGCAAGGCTGACACAAGAGTGGCTCTGATACCATCTGTAACAGCCCAGCCCACAGTGATATTGTCCGCTTTGGGCCTAGACCCGCACGGATTTAAAATGCGTCACTAGAATCTAAGGCGTGTCTACTTATATATATACTCAACATCTCTCCCGTGTTTTGTCGATGTGAGATTCGCCTAAGGTGTCACAATTTACCTCCCTCAAATTTTCTCAATGTTTAAACAATCTCATGTGTATTGTACTATAGGTTACTACGACGAATGCATCTGTTTCGAGTACAATATAATGTTGTTCAAGATACAAATGTGAAATTTTAATTTATAGAACACTTGCTAATCAAGCATAGTACCCTTTAAGAATATATAATGAATTTTGCAAGCAAATAATTTTTTGAATTTAGAGTAGGTTTTTCTTGTCCTAAATAAAACACTTGAAAAGGTGATTGAGATTAATAAACTGAGACATAGAGGCGGACAAGACAAAACCAAATGTATAGCAATAAGAATATAAGAAGGATGATCCAGATTAATTACATGAGGAATAAAAATACTCATTTCCTAAAAATTTAAAAAGAAGTATTCCACAGATATCCTTGGCATAGCCCAAATTAGCCCATCCAAAATCTTGGGCTGATTTGCGCAGTATATATACCCCAAATTGAATCATAAAAATTTATAAAAGCATGAAAAATAATTTTTTTTGCTTGTTTGATTTGTTTACTACAGTCATAATAAATAAATTAACTAAATAAATAACTTTTGTTAATTTAATTTGATACATAAACAAATTATAAAAGAACAAACAAACTATTGAAAAATGGTTATTAGTTGGGTGAGTTGTGTTACAACTTAGGACCCATTTTTTAGGCCTAATTGATTCATCCATCTTTGATCAGAACAAACTTTGGACAGGTTATGACTCAACCTACTTATTAGTTCAACTCTTTTTTATCCCAAATTAGTTCACCATAAAATAGTACGTATGATGTTATGATCAATGTGTATTTTTCTTAACATTTTTGTTGGCAAATTCTTGGATCTATATTTTTCTTCCTTATGATCTTTATGTTGGAAAAAGGTGCAACAAGAAAGAATATAGTGATAGTCACTCTCTCTCTCTCTCTCTCTCTTTTTTGGGCCTGTCCAAGATATCCAGATCTAATTGAGAAAAGAAGATAACAAGTCAAACTTCAACTCTTACTTTAATTTATATTAGTTGTACTACATCTAGTTTTCTTAATTGTACTATATTATCTAGTTCTCTCTTTAATTACTAGCTGCTTTATTATCATATATAGGCCTTTCCACGGCTAAAACTATAGAAATGAGCTCGAGGACAAAGAAGTTGATGTGATTTTACTAAGTAAGTTTAATCCAAATTAATGTAAGAAATATTTCAGTAATAAGTTATTTTCCTGTAAAACGGTACAGTTGAATTTGTACGTGGTTTCTAGACAAGTGAGCTAATTTGATCCTGAAATAATTCAATAATTGAATAAATGTATAATGCTTAGCCTTAAAATATAGATGAAATAGCAGGAATGATACTTCTGGGAACAAGGTTTCCAAGCACAGCAATGATGAGATCAAAGAGCAAGAAAATCAGATTGAATTATGCTTTGTGTAGAATACAATATAAGTTTTGCCAGAGAATTCGTGTCCCTTACAAAGATAACTGAGCTCACTATTTATAGCTATGTCTAGGGAAGGAGGTCCTAGGATCGTATCCTCCTTTAATGTTAATTTTGAGGGTCATTGATGTAGACGTAACGTTGAACATAAGTGCCAAATTCTCTGTAACGGACCGTCGCTCTTAATTCTGCAGAATATCACCTATTAAATGCTACCGGGCACAGAGCATTTAACACATCTTTATGAACGTTATCCTTTCCGGTGACAAGAAGAATGTTTGCGTTCGGTCTTCGGCCATCCTCGTCTTAGGTTCCACGTGTCCTCTCTTTAGACGACCACGTGTCGTATCATATTTTACCCTATACAGATAGTCCTCCTGCTTTCTGGTGATATAAATTTATGTTACCGAAAAGTTGGTAGAAACACTTTTTTTTGCGGGAATTACTATAACTCCCTCTGAAGGTTCCAGACAGTTGATTAAACGCACGTCTCTCCGCATTTAATGCTCCAAACAAGCGTCATCCCATGATTCAGCACAACTTTTTTCGATGATCGAGGTAATCATGGCCATGAATTTAACCGCCAAAATTTTACTTATACGCAACATTCTTTTCCTTTGCATTTCATAATTTCTCGAGCTTCCCATTTGCATATTTGTTTTCCATACTTTCTCTAATTCTCTTTAAACATAAAACCTTTTCTTTCTTCTTTTTCAATGGCTTCTTCCTCCAAGCATGCTGGTTCTTCAAAGAACAAGAACAAATCTGAGGATTTTGCTCCTCCAACGGTGAGTTCCATAATTCCAAGAAAACTCAGTATCACAAAGGACCTTGAAGAGAAATTCCCTACTGTTAACCCTCGTACATAGGCTTTTAGTAGGTACCCTTCTTCTATTCGTCCTTTCAGTATTCCTGCTGTGAAGGAAGACTGTCGCTTCCATGAGTTGGATATCATTGCTCCTGATCTACCGGAGCGAGTGACCCTTCCCAAGGAAGGTTTTACATACTTTTACATGTATCCCTTTACTTTGTGTGCATTTTCTTTAAGCGGAGAGCTTGATTGTGTGATTGCGGAGTTTTTGCCTTCGCTACCAAGTGTGTCTGGCACATATAAGTCCTTAAGTGTGGAGGACGGTCGCCTGTCTTTGACGCTTGTGCCAGGAAATTGGAGAGGAGCTAACCTTAGCTCATATGATAAATTCTATTCTCCCAAAATCTTCCGCGGGAAAATGATAAACCTCTGCAAGCGTAGCCACCATGCTTTGTTGTCGAGCACGGATGATGACAACGGTCGTGGATGGATGGAACGGTTCGTTGCAGTCACCACCAACGACATCGTTCCGCCACCAACGATATCATTCCGACAATAGCTTCATCCTTTCCGATCG